CCCTTTCTGCCCTTTTTCTGAGCCCTCTGCCCGTGTTCGTTGCAGGCCACAAGACATTATCGTCTTCATCATTGGTGGGGCCACTTACGAGGAGGCGCTGACGGTGTACAACCTGAACCGCACCACCCCTGGTGTCCGGATCGTGCTGGGGGGGACGACGGTGCACAACACCAGGAGGTGAGTTGAAGGGGGGGGCAGAGCCGTCGCCGTCCTTTCCCTTAATCGGGGAACGCTGGCAAAGGTCTAGTTTTCACTGCCTGGTCTGTGTCCCCTTTGGAGAGTCCTACTTTCCTTGCTTGGTTCTCGGCTTCAGTGCAAACCCCCTCCCTTGTTCCCACTTTTGGTCTACTTGCCTTTGGCCCCTGTGTGCCCTCTCTGACCCAAATCCTGCCCACTTGGCCCAGCCCAGACATTGCCCTTTGGAGCCAGCCGGCGAGAAACTCGCTCCTTTTTTTTTTTTAATTCTTCCTTGGTGTCTTTCGGTCTTCCCCCAGTTTCCTGGAAGAAGTGTCCGCTGCTGGCTTTCGAGGACGGGGCGCAGAGAGTTCGCAGGGGATGGGCCAGGCTGCAGCCAGGCGGCTGAACTGAGGCAGCACCGCCATTGGCTCCTCCCGAGCCATCTCAGACCGAAATCTGTCCGACTTCAGGTTTCTCTTCACGTACCATAGCCAGCCAGCGCAGATGGGATGGAGGCTATGGTTCTTCTCTCTCTCTCTCTCCTTCTCTCCCTCCCTCTCTCTCTTCTCCCCCCCCCCACTCTCTTTTAGATAATTTTTAATTTGAACAGGAATGCGTAGGAGCCTTCCCGACTGCTTCTTTGGAAAACCGCACAGTCTGCTGTTCGTGTCTCCCTTTCAGGGTCACTTCTCTGCTTGTTGCCTGCCTCATGGGCTGAGAGCTGCTATGGGAGCCCCCGAGTCCCCCCCCCTGTGAACTCCCAATAAAAGGACGCTGTGCTTTTATGGCAGAGAGAGATCATCTGGACTTCTTTTTTAAATGAGTGACTCTCTCTCTCTCTCTGGAAGCGCTGCAGGCTAGCCGATGGGCCAGAGAATGGGGTTGTGACATTGAGGCCTCCTGAAGACATCAGAGAGTGGGGGGCCGTGGGGGAGGATGGAGCTCTTCTGCCCCGTGGCTTCATCTGGCCCTCTTAAGAGCACAGTAGAGCTTGCTGTGGAGTGCAGGAGGGCCCAGAATATTCTTGGCACCCTCTCAAATGCAGGGTTGAATTTTTAAATACTTGTTTGTATTTCCAACTAGCTGTACCCAGCCACGCGTTGCTGTGGCTCAGTCTGGTAAAAGCGTGTGTTGCTTTTACGTCCAACAGATGGCGCTGTTTTTTTTCCAAAAACATGTTTTTAATCTGTCACAGGTGTGACATCTATATCATAGTAGGTATATAAAAACACACGCGTATTCGAATGCAACGTTGTGTCAAAATTTCAAAGCAATCGGTGAAGAACTTTCGGAGATTTAAGATTTTGAACAAACGAACATTTACATTTTTATTTATATATAGATAGATTTGCTCCTATTTCTCTTAAGTTTTGCATGTTCCTGTGTGGGGCGATTAGAAGCTTGCAGGCTTCTATTTCATGCTCCCTTTTAATTTGTACTTTCTCTGCGTTAGTTCTGGCATCAGCAGGGTGCCTTGGAGGGTTTTTAAGCATCCCAGTACTTGGCCCCTGGTCAGTCTGGTGAAGGGGAGGGAGTTGACCCTTCTGCTCTCCTTGGACTGGAACTTCCAGGAGAGCCAGCACTGAGGGGCGCGGGGGTCCCGCTCCAGGGGCCAAATCTTAACCGGAATTCTTGTTTAACGATTGGTCGTTGAGTGTGAGAGAGTGTGGGGGTGAAACACCCGCCTCCTGAGACTTAATAGATTTGAGAAGGAGAAGCCAATCCATGTGGCTTATTTGTGGCTAAGTCCCGGTTTTTCCTGCGAGGGCTTCTGTAGGAGCTGAGCGTAGAGCCTGACCCTCCTGCCCTAGGATGCTCGCTGCAGGAAGACAAGATGGCTGGAAGGAAATCACTCGGCCTCCAGGAGTCCCGTTCTTCCCCTCATCGGCCCAACTCCAAATCTGAGCAGGTTAGGTTCTCTCTCTGATGCAACATTTCATCTTTTTTGATTAGCTGTAACCAGAAGTGGAATTTCGAGTGTTAATGATTAGACCTAATTAGGCAGCTTGTTTTCAAGTTAGACCCTTCTTGGCCAAGAACGGAGACCTGGACGGAAGGGAGAAGGAGGTGCTGCCAGGTCTTCTGTGGGGTCTCTGTCCCCGAGGATCATAAAAGGCCCCAGGCCCCTTGCCTTAAAAGCCTCCTTGTCCACGGCTGGCACCACGGACCGTGGGAAACCCGCCTGGCAGACGGTCGAGAGGTAGCTCTTTCCCCCAGGCCGAAGGAGGCTTTCTTGGAGGGACCGGAGAAGAGTGAATGGCCGAGGCAAGAAACAGGATTCTGCTTTTGGGCTTTTACAGGTGGTTCTAGATTTACGGCCACAATGGAGCCCCAAATTTTTTGTTGCTAAGTCAGACAGTTGCCGCAACGGTCGTTAGGTGTGAAAAAGGTCATTTGTTTCAGTGCCGAGGTAACTTTGAACGGTCGCTAAATGAACGGCTGCAAGTCACAAATACCTGAATTGCTTTTTATTCCTGTTGCAAGCTGCCCAGAATTGGGTTGCTTTAAGAATAATTTAAATAAATAAGTAAGCCCCTTCTTTTGGTCACATGACTGAGAACTAAACCTCCCATGTTTTGCTGCTCTGTCGTTTTTTGGTCCCGGCTCGTGTTCCACCACGGTGTACTCTCTGCTTGCGCAGGACTGTGCCGCCGCCACTTGAGACGATGCACCCGGCCTTTCCACCGACTGTTCACCGAAGCTCTTTCCCACTCAGCAGTGGGTGGTCTCACTCGTGCCCAGGGGTTAGCAGCCCACTCGTGCCCAGGGGTTAGCAGTGCGGTGGGACTCTCCTTCGTGCACCTTCCGTCCGCAGGCAGCCCTGGTCTGCGTCTTCTTCCTTACGTATAATAACGGCTGGGACAAGGACTCCAGCCATGGTGCACGCTCACCGGGCCTTATTCCAGGGTAGATGTGAACCTCTGCAGTTGTCACTCTGCCCTCCCAGGGACTCCTCTGGAGCACAAGTCCTGCCAGGAGAAAAGGCGCAAGAGCGAAGCGGCTGCTGTGTCTACGCCAGGACTCTGGGAGGGACGCCGTGACAGGTAAATAAATAGCTGGTGAGCCTGGAGCCTGGACCTCAGGGACACGTGGCACTTCCCCCAAGCTGCGTCTTCAGGCAAGCAAGGCTTCTTTGTGCTTCTGACCAAAATAAGTGAAGATGGTTGCCATCCTGCTCTGAATCAGATCTGACCTCAGTTTCTCCACTGGGTTCCAGTGTGGCTGAGAGTGGCGTGACGAGGCTTTAGAAGGAGGTGAGATGTTGTGCTCTCACCACCTATTGCTTTCTCTAGATCTGTGACACTGTGTGTGTGTGTGTGTGACAGAGAAAAAGAGGGAGGATGTGGATGTGGGGAAAAACAGCACCCGGCCTGCGTTCCTCCAGGCCTGCCAGGTAGTGCTGGCCCTCTGGCTCAGATACGCCATGAGGCAATGACCCGTTGGAGAATCACCACAATAATTGCTGCCCAGAAACGTTGAGCCTGCTAGCTGCACCCAGCCAGCTGTCGGGCCTGGGCATTGGCAGGCAAGATACCATGAACGGCTAAAATAAGTCAGCCAGGGTGGGAAAGGCCGGCATATTGGCAAGTTGGCAGCAGACGTGGAACAAAGAGAGTCCTTTTGCCATTTTGGTAGATCGTGCTAAGCTGGACGTGAGTCCAAGATGCCTTGCTTGGGGAGAGGGTGTTTGGTGGGGGGCCCCAGGGTGCAGGTCCTGGCTATGGGGTGCAGGTCCTGTGCAGGTCCTGGGTATGGGGTCTGTGCCCGTCTGCCCAGGCAGGTCTGGAAAGGTGTGAACTTCCACGTGTCAAGGTGCCCCTGCTGCCGGTTCCTCTTTGAGTCGTGCCAACAGCCAGCCCTGCCTGCAGGATCTCCTCTCACTTTACATAATTGATTCCCCCAAGCTCCCCACTCCGAACCACCCCGGCACTTCGCTCAGCACTCCTGAAGCCCCACCAGTGGCTGCCTGCCTCTTGGGCTCCCGGGGCCTTTGGCACCATGTTCAGAGCAGCGGGCTGCCATCTTCTCCGAGGCCCGCTGGAGTCCCAGTGTCCTTTGTACGCGGCTTCAATTCTCTCTTCGCCTTTGTCAGCTTTATGGATCCTGTTGCCTGCGGAAGACTTTGGTTGGGTGCCACAGCTTGGGGCGCCTAACCAAGTTCACCAAATGGAGGTATTTCTCTCAGCAGGACCCCCGGCCTTCTCCCGGAGCCCTCCGTGCCAGGTCGCTGGAGGAGCGTAAACCTGTTTCAGGAAGGACTGTACAAAACTGTGCCTGTGTTGCTTTGCCTGCCTTGTGTGTGTGTGTCTCTGTTGAGTCCCTGGGTGTCCCGGGGAAGTGGAGGGGGGTTGTTCCTTGGTCCTTCTTGATCCTGCTTCGTTCCTCCTCTCTTCCCAGCCAACTGACTCAAACAAAGAAGAAAGGGTCCCTCCCTCCCAGCTTCATTTGCCTCTTTCCTTGTGGAAACGTCACGGCTTGTCTGGCTATAGATGGTGCTGTGGAGCCCACAAGAACCCTTTCCTTCCATGCCCAGACGAGAGAAAGGAGGAGGAGGAGGAGGAGGAGGGAGAGCCGGAGCAGGGGAGGGGGTTTCTGGGGGGTCCCTCTGCCTCCAGAGATGTGTGGGCATCGCAGAGGCAAATTCTGCCTCCAGGTCATGGGTGCTCCCTTGCGCTTGCCTTAAGGAGGAGAGATTTATTTTTCTCCCCCTTCCCAATAACCGCAGAGATCTTCAATTCTCTGCCCGGCAAAGACCCTGCCCCCCCTCCCACATACCCTCTCTCCCCCCTCCCTTTCCCTCCTCTGGACAGCTGCCTTGAGGAATGATGAAAAAAACCAATTCGGCTAAACGGGTGAGTGAGTCGTTTTCTGCTTTCTGGGTAGCCCCCCTCTCCCCCCCCAGGCCTTTTCCTGGCATTGTTATTGTCCACTTTCTCTGCTGGGTCTGTGGGCGGTGGGGGCCCTCGGTGAGCCAGTCTTGTTCCAACTTTCCAGCCATCCCTTCGTCCCCCCCACACCCCAAAACCGGCTCGCCTTTGCTTTCTGATCGTTCAGCCTTTCGTTGCCGTCCCCAAATGTAGGCTTCTCCATTATTAAAGCTCTGTTTGCATGAATTTTAAAAACCCTCCTCCCGTGTATTTCCCTCCCCTAGATGAAGGAAGAGTGTGATTAGAAATGTAGAGAGAGTGCAAATGGAAAAAAACAGTTGCCTTGTGAAACAGATAACGGTTTTTTTAGTCTGAATTTCTGAAGGGGAAGAAGGCTCCTCCATCCTTTGCACTTATTAAATGCTGATTGGGCCAAGGGCAGATTGATTCCAGCCTACTTCTATCATATAAAGCAGGTGGCAGCATTGTTTTGATTCTATTTATTTATTCGCCTTACATCATTTCGACTGCTTTGTAATTGTGGTAGTGTTGTGTTTTTTTTAAGAAAAAGAAAAACCGACGCACTTCGTTAGGATGATCTGTGTGTGTGCTGCTGCTAGTGTCCCGGGTGCTTTGGGGGTGCTTTGGGGAAGGGCCAGGGCCAGCGATGGGGACGGGAGAGCTTTCTGGGCCAGGGGAAGGGCCAGTGGCAGGGGGCAGGCCAGAGACGACGACCCCCCCCTCCTCTTAACCGCTTCTCTCCCGCCTTTCTCCTCTCCCACTTGCTCCCCCCCCCCCACACTGTCCTTTGCTCTCTTTCTTTTTGGACTGCAGGGGTTCCAGGAGGGGAACCAGCAACTGCTGCAGCCTGAGAAGGTGGGCTGGGTCCGGAAATTCTGCGGGAAAGGCATTTTTCGGGAGATTTGGAAAAATCGGTTTGTGGTGCTGAAGGGCGACCAGCTTTACATCTCGGAGAAGGAGGTTGGTAAGAGGTTGCTCACATTTTTTGGCTTCTTTAGCCAAGCCTTTCCTTTGCTTTCTCTTTCTCCCCCCTCCCCCCAGCAGTTTGGGGGGGGCTGAATTCTGCGATTCTAGTTGGTTGGTGAAAGAGGAAGTTGAGCTGGAAGGGAGACCGTCAGCTGGGCTTCACTATAATAATAATAATAATAATAATAATAATAATAATAATAATAATAATAATAATAATAATAATAATAATAATAATAATAAAAAGTTGGAAGGGACCTTGGAGGTCATCTAGTCCAACCCCCTGCTCAGGCAGGAAACCCTGTACCATTTCAGACAAATGGTTGTCCAGTCTCTTCTTAAAAACTTCCAGTGTTGGAGCATTCACCGCTTCTGGAAGCAGGTTGTTAATAATAATAATAAAGTTGGAAGGGACCTTGGAGGTCATCTAGTCCAACCCCCTGCTCGGGCAGGAAACCCTATACCATTTCGGACAAATGGCTGTCCAATCTCTTCTTAAAAACTTCCAGTGTTGGAGCATTCACAGCTTCTGGAGGCAGGTTGTTCCACTGGTTAATTGTTCTCACTGTCAGGAAGTTTCTCCTTAGTTCCAGGTTGCTTCTCTCCTTGATTAGTTTCCACCCGTTGCTTCTTGTCCTGCCTTCAGGCACTTTGGAGAATAGCTTGACTCCCTCTTCTTTGGGGCAGCCCCTGAGATACTGGAAGACTGCTATCATGTCCCCCCTGGTCCTTCTCTTCATTAAACTAGACATCCCCAATTCCAGCAATTGATCCTTATATGCTTTGGCCTCCAGTCCCCTGCCTTTTCATTGCCCCTGAAAGCTTGACCTCAAATTCATTGGCAAAATGCTCCTGTGACCCTGATCTGGAGCTCATTCCTGGGGTTCAGGTCTCGTGGCCCAGGATGGAGCCTGCAAGGAGATGTCGTGAGACGGGGGGGGAGGTTGGGGTCAAGGGGGGGGATGGGTGGCAGTCCCAGCAATGGACTGCCCTCCCTGGAAGGTGTTTTGTGGGAGGCCCACAGTGTAAGGGGCTGTTGGTGGAGCCAGTCCCACAGCGAGGAGGAAGGGCTTGGATCGGTCAGTTGCTTCTTCCTCCGTGGAGTCCACGGAACTTTGTTTCCTGTCTGAACTGGCTGGTTTGTGGGTCAGCATCTAGGAGGCCATCCCTGCCCCTGTGTAGGGTTTTGGACACTGTTTGGGGGTCAGGGGGTTGTCCTGGTTGCCAACTCTGGGGCTGTGCTGCTGCAAACAGGGTCAGGATGCCTGCTTGCAGAAACAGCCAAGCTCTTATAGGTTGCAAACCCAGGTGGGTTTTGGCTAAGAAGCCCAGATCCCTCAACAAGCTCTCTTGAAATGAACTTGCAGGTTTTTGAACAAGGCCAGTAGCCTATCTCAGCTGCCAGAGGAACTTGGTTTCTGTCATCTCCTCAAAAGGCTGGGAGGGTTTCCATGGCAGTTGACCAACAGGGATGGGCCTCTTGTCTTCACATCTCCCTTTTCTGGCATTCGGGAAGCCGGAGGTGAATTTTGCATATTTGTTTTTAGGATTTCTCTGTTCGGTGGCTTTGGAGGCAAAGTACATGTTTCATGCAAATTGTTTTTTTTCCACTGGCTCTTATTAAAATGAGCCTCCCTGGAGGTGCGAATGTCTGTTGCTTAAAAAACGTGTCCTCTGATGTCAGGTTTGTGTTGCTATTTGTTCTTTGCGATAGCCACTTCCTCGTGCAAACTTTTGGTGCTCGAACCTTGCTTGGAAGTTTCACACTGATCCTAATTCTGGATGAGGAGGAAGCAAAGGCAAGGAAGAAAGAGATGCAATTTGTGATCTATTTCAGCGTTCATCCTTCTCTTCGGACCTGTCCTTCCTGGCGTCAGATTTAGTTCCAGGCCCAGAAATTAGTTGCTTTTTTTCCCCTTTTCTCAGTTCCCATTTGTTCTGCTTTACACATTTAAGGAATAACACAAGGGTGAAATGGACAGGCCTCTGCCCCCTCTCCCCCCTGCCTCCCATTTTGAGGTAAAGCACGCTTGGGCTGAGCAGACAATGGAGGCGGAGGAGAGGCTGGGCCGGCCTGTGGGACAATAGATGGCGATGAGCTAATACTGTATTATTAACTTACATAATTTGTTACCTGTTATTTAGCATACTCACAAGAACCAGCCATCCACCCAAGCCAAGTCTCAGCATTTAATTACTCTGAACCCAAACGAGGGCTTGGCTGGTAGGGAAAGGGAGGCAGCATTAACCATGCAGGCAGGGGACGAGCCAAGCTGGGTCCGGTTGCAAGTCATCGGATAGCAGGCAGGCCGCCCATCGGCCGGAAAGGGGCTGGAGGGGGCAGAGGGGGGGGAAGGCTGAACTCCTGCTGGTCTCTGTGCAGCCTGGGATGGATCCGATTCTGCCCTGGCCACCCTGGAGTGGCGCCTCTCATCCCCCTGATGGGTGCCCTGTGCCGGGCTGTGCATGGAGTTTTGTGCAGCACATCTTTAGAAAAATGGGCTCCCAGTGGAAGCTTTAATTTTTGCTTTTACTTTGAAAAACAAAAGGGAAAAAATGCTCATTGTTTTTAGTGCCGGTACTAATGATAACGCCATTTGTCTGAAATGATGTAGGGTTCCTGCCTGAGCAGGGGGTTGGACTCGATGACCTCCAAGGTCCCTTCCAATTTTATTATTATTATTATTATTAAGAGGCAGGACCCTGCCAGGATAGTGGTGCTGTCTGTGATGCAGCCCACGTGACTTAAAACCGGCCTCCTTTAAGCTTTTAGTTAATGCAAACTTGATACCAGCTCAAACCCCATTAAACTTTACTAGGCAGGCAGTTCAGATTTCCTGTCCACTTACCATTCCTAGGTTAATTAGTGTGTGTGTTCTGAGAAATTACGTTTCTTTTCCCCCCAGTTGCAAATCTATAGGATTTATTGCTAACCAGGTAGCGTCTGTTCCCTCGTCCCAGAAAAAAAAAAAATCCTGCTGTTCTGTGGATTTGGAAGGGGCTGTCAAAATTCAACGGGAGGGGTTCGTTTTCACGCCTGCGTTTAAGAACCAGAATTCTCCCTCTATCTTTGATAGGGTGAGTGAGGGAAAGAATTTTTAATCTAGATATCCTCGCATGCCCTTGTAAAATCTGCGTGGCCTGTCTGTCTGTCTGTCTGCAGCTCAGAGATGAGAAAAACATCCAGGAGGTGTTTGACTTGAACGATTACGAGAACTGTGAGGAGCTCAGGAAATCCAAAAGCAGAAGCAAAAAAAACTATAGCAAGTTCTCGCTCGCCCACTCCAAGGAGCCTGGCAACACAGTAAGACCTCCCTCCCTCCCTCCCTCCTGGCTGAGCATTCAAGCCCCTGCTTGGGGTACCAAGAGTTCTGCCTTCTGCTGGGGGTAGGTGGGTGGCCAGCCTGGGGAGCCCCTCTCTCCTTCCAAGCCCTGGAGATCCTGCAGAAGGGAGCAACAGAGGAGCCCCTGGCTCAGCCAGTGGCCCAACGGCGGCGGCAGGGGGTGATGCAGCAGCACGTAATCCCAGACTTGACTTGACGGCTGAACAGCAACCTGTCTGGGTCTCTCTTTCCCTTCCACAACTGTGTCTGCTATTCAGACTGGCTGCTTTTTCTGCTTCTTGGGCTGTCAGTAGGAATGTGGATAGTATTTCCTCTGATTAGGAAGGGATCGCAGCATTTCCATGTCTGTTCACAGCAGCTTCACATCTGGGCTGTGAAGCGATGCAGCCCAAGGGCCGTGGGTCCCTGCCCACCCGGGACCTTCAGGCGGCTGGCTCCCTTTGATCTCACTACCCGTCCCACTTCCTCTCCAGGAACAGAGCAAACACCCCCCACCCCACCCCAACCGTCTGTGGGCTGAGTGTTTCAGTCCTCCCCGTCCCCTGGTCTTTCCGCTGGGTGTCGCAGGCCACCGTGTCCTTGCTTAGAGCAGCCTCCCTGTCTGGTGCCCCAGATCTATTTTGTTTTATTTATGTCTGCATCCTGTTGATATAAACGTGGCAGATGCCTCGGACCTGCCGGGCTCCCGCTGCCCACGGGCACTGCAGGTCCCAGCGCCTCTGGGGATGGCTGGATAAGCGGTTGCAGGTGGATGGTAAGACAGCGGTTCAGAGGAAGCCACTGTTTCCTCCTCCAACACAAAGCTGCAGGCGTTATCCTGGACTGGATTTACGAAGGACGGGGCCAGGCGAGACGGTTAAGCCTCTCCTCGGTTGCCGATGACGCTTCCGTCTCTCTCAGGCACCCAATCTCGTCTTCCTGGCTGTGAGCCCCGAAGAAAAGGAGTCTTGGATCAATGTGCTTAACTCTGCCATCATCCGGGCCAAAAACCGCATCTTGGACGAGGTGAGCAGTCTGGCACTGGGATCGGCCTGTCCTTGACCCACAGGCTACCTGGCCCTTTCCAAAGCCCCCCGTCTGGGGCAGGGCAGGAGGGAGCTCAGAGCGGTGCAAGAGAGAGACCCCGACCCTTTTCGGTTTGCTTGCAGCCGTGGGAATTGTTTGTGGCAGGTGTGGCTCACCCAGATTTGTTTTTCTTCAGCCCGCAGCCCCATTCGTTGGGGGGGGTTCCAGACCTTTCTCGAAAGGGGGTCTGGCAGTGGAGTCTCCATTCTCAAGGGTCCGGGTTAAAGGTGGCAGAAGCCTCGAGTTGACCTGCCTGCTTGTCGTAATCTTATCTTACATGACTAGGAGCGTCAGGAACTTTTTAGTTCCTTCTGGGTCTCACTATTCTGTAAAGAAAGAAGAAAAAAAATGGAGAGCGACAGAGATTTCCCCTTTCTTTTAATCCTGGCAATAATCCTTGTTGCCAGGTGTGCAGACAGAGAGGAGAGAGGGGCAGGGATGCCCTCCCAGCGATTTATTGCTAGGGAGATGATGCTAGTGTTGTATGAGGCCCCGTTCGAATGGTCCAAGGGTTTCCTTATCTAAAGTGAAATTGGGCGCAGAGAAATTAAAGGGGGAGGGAACAATAGAGAGCAACGGAGTAGATTTGTTATTTGTTTAAATTTAGAAAAGGGACCGCCTTTCTTTCGGTCTGCAGAGGAGGGGCAGAAGAAAGGAAGGGGTGGTTGGTTTTCCGTTGTAAGGTGAGAGAGATCCTTTTAGGGGTGGTTCAAAGCAGAGAGGGAAGGGAAGCTGGGGTAATATTCCCTCCTGGTTGTTTCTCTTGTGGTTCAAATGACAAAAGCAGACTTGCTGCTGGCTTGGGGACACGTCCCCCCGCGCCATTCTTTGCAGCCACAAAGCCAAAGAGGGAGAGATAACGGGGGTGGGTGGGTGGGAGAGAAAGATGCCAAGCGAAGAGGCCCCCCCAGGCATCTTACAGGAATGGCTTATAAGAGGGGATAAACTAGGGGGAGAATATGGCTAGGACAGGGGTAGGCAACCTCGGCTCTTTTATGACTCATGGACTTCAACTCCCAGAATTCCTGAGTCAGCATAGCTGACTCAGGAATTCTGGGAGTTGAAGTCCATGAGTCATAAAAGAGCCGAGGTTACCTACCCCTGGGCTAGGAGATGCAGATTCCTGCTTTTTATTCGGGGATATTTTTAATTTTTCTTCTTGCCGACATAGGGAACTGGCAGAATGCTTTTTCCTTGAGTCTGGGGGGCTTCTCTCAAACGTCCCTCCCTTCCCAAAGAAATGAAGGAAGAGGCCAGAGAGAGCTGCAGTCAGAGCTATTGGATGTAGGAGATGGATGGGCGGCGGCAGGGGGGGGGAGAAATCATTTCTCCTGGGAGATTCACACGCTAGGCGTGTTGTGTGCCTCCTATTCTGGCTGCTGACGGGGGGGTGTGTGTTCCTGTGGCTTCTCAGGTGACAGTGGAGGAGGAGAGCTTCCTCGCCCACCCCACTCGCAACAGAGCGAAGATCCAGCACTCCAGGCGGCCCCCGACCAGAGGCCACTTGATGGCTGTGGTGAGTGCAGAAGGTGGAAGGAAGCAGGCTCCCATAACTGCTGCTGTTTCCCCTTCTCATAGCTGCCTGCGCAGTCCTGCTTTTCTCCCAGGGGTTCGGGCGGGGCCCCGGGTGCGCCTTTCCTCTTCACGGGCCCCCTTGGAGTCACCCAAGGCCAGGCGGGTCACGGGACGCCCCTGTCCGCTTCTGCCCACTCAGCGTCCCCCATTCCAACTCTGTGGGTTCAGCCATACCTATCCTGGAGCTGTACAGACTGTACAGGATATGTAAAACTAATACCAACGCATGTGATTTCTGTGATTCTTTCCACCCTTCCTGGAGACTTGGGTTTTTTTTCACACACGTGCTCTCTCTCCGCCTCCCCAATTTCCCCTGCCTTTCTCCTGCCTTTGCAGGCATCTACCTCAACCTCTGATGGGATGCTGACCCTGGACTTGATCCAGGAGGAGGAGGCCTCCCCAGAAGACCTCGGCACCTGTGAGAAGAGTTTCCGGGTGGACGTGGACAAATCATCCGCTCATCTCTCCCCTGGCCGAAGGCGCTCGGATTCGGAGACCATCAAGGAGAAGAGCAAGACAAACAGTCTCCCACGGAGGAAGGACACGACCGGGGAGAGGCTCTCCGCTCACAGGGAGGCCTTTGGCAAAGGGGCCATGTACACCCCTCAGGTCCCCAAGAAGCTCTCTCCCTTGGAGAAGAACAAATGTGCCTCGATGGAAGAGATCCTCTCCTGCTGGGACTCTTCCTCGGCTGGCCAGGCGTGGCTGAGGAGCGGCCTCAAGGACCGGGGGGCTTCCCCTGAGCCCCAGCAACTGGCCAGGATACAGGAGCTGGTGGCCTTGCAGCTGGAGAAGACGCAGGGCCTGCTGGCGGAAGCGAAGGGCTACGGGGCAGAGGCGCAAAAGGCACCGGGGCTCGCCTGCGCCTCTCCTGTGGCCCCCGCCTGCGCCTCCCCCAGGCTGGACTCGGAGGCCGCCTTGCAGGAGATCCAGAGGTTGCTGGGCGAGGCCTCCTCTTACTGGAGCCAAGCCCAGAAAGTGCTGCAGGAGGTGACAGAACTGAGGCGCCTCTACCAACAACTTCGGCTCTCGCCCCCTGCGCCCCTGGGGGGGCTGCGGCCGCCGCCGCCTCAGTGCAGGAGGAGCCTGATGTGAAGGCAAACGGCGTGGGGCGACCTCTCGGGAAAACGGGGCGCAGGGCAGCCGACAGGAGGGTGCAGACATTGGGGAGCGGATGCGCCGCTTGCATTTGTAGCACTGGATGCTTCCCCGGGTTCCGGCGGTTACTCAATCCTTAACTCTTCACCAACTCAGTTTTTTCCCCTCGCTTCCCCCCCCCACATTGATAATGTCCCCCGTTCCTCTCTTCCAACTTCCAAGGCAGCCTGTTTCCATACGTTCCTTCGTGTCCAAACGTGCAGCAACTTAGAGGCAGCGCGTAATTTTTCAGAAGCAGCGTGGTTCTGTTTGGGGCCCGTGGTTTTCTCAGTGGACCTCTTTCCAAGAAAGGTCTCTGGCTTCCAAACAGTACAAATGCCCTGTGGGGTGCACCACGCTCCCAAATGCCAGGAGACGTGGGTTGCACCTCCGGCTCCAGGGGGACATGGCCTCCTCGGCAGGGTCCCTCCTGGGTCGCCCTGGATCCTGTCTGGCTGCTCTGCCCTGCTCTCGACCGGAACTGGGGAAGCAGTTTCGGCCCTTGATCCCAGGCAGTTATCTGGTCCACAGGCTTAAACATCGCAACATCATTTCCCTTAAGTCCTTGGCAGGTATTCTGTGTCCTTATTCCATCTGACTTTGCCCCCCTGAGCCCCGTTGCTTGCCTCAGCCCTGCTTCTGGCCTTCAGAGGCAGCGCACGAGCAACAACAGCCACCGTGTGCTTAGAAAGTGTGACAGGCAGTTTTGCTTGTCGGCAGAATGTGTGAGTCCAGATCGTCTTCAGGCCTGCCTCTTATCTTTTCGGTACAGCAGGAGATAGCCTGAAGCGTTCCATGGCCCCCCATGCCCCTCATCGCTCCTTTGGGAGAAGTCTTGGCCCCACACACTCTGCTGCCAGTGTGAAAGTTCAGAGGGCATCTCGCCCCCTTGAGCTGAATCTCCTTTCAGTTTTGGTGACGGGAGCAGGTCTTCTGTGGCATCAGAAGAGTTGGCCCCAATGCTCCATATACTCCCATCAGCCGACGCCTTGCCACATCAACCAGTAAACCCTCTTTTGTTCCCCTTTTCCATCACCGATACTGAAGCACAGCGGACGTTGTGTTGGACAGGTGGAACTCAAGAGGAAGCATCTGTCGCATGTGGCCATTGCTCTCTGTTTGCTTGCAAAACTGTTTGCCTGTGGAGAATTTACTGGTGGTTGGAAGGGCTTGAAGTCAGAGCCATCGGTTCACTTCTGCCTCCTGCTCGTCCTGTGTTCAGAGAAACGGCAGAGAGGAGGGTTAGGGTCTGCAGGATTTGTCCAGCCAGCAAGATCCCACAATAGAAAGTGCTTCCCTATGACAGAGTCATCTCGCTCCCCCTTCTGTGGTCATCGCTCACTGCTTAAGACCGCAGAGTGTCCCCTTGGGATCGCCTCTCTGTGGCTTCGGTCCGCCTCGTGCTGGTTCAGCCGAGAGTCAGGAAGGGAAGACTCAGCACAGATTGCCTCTCATCAGGTGCCTTCGTGTCCTGGTGGATGCTCCCCATTCTGCACTCTGCTAAGCAGAATTATTGGGGTCTCCCACTGGTGGAACTGGCGAAGGAGAGTCCCACCCTTGGTGTTTCCACAGGTCAGGCTTAAGAGGGAGGGATGCCCAAACAAGTCTTCCAGAATCATCCCTCCAGAAGGAGGATTGGAAATGGATGCTTTTTTTTTTTTGTGACCTCTGCCTCGCAATAGGATTTTCCAATTGGCCTTAGGTGCCCTCCTTCCCCTTTTTAAAAGAGTTTGAGAAATGTATTTGCCCTTCTCTTCTTTTTCCAAACTTACAACAGCCTTTGGGGGGGGGAAGAAGTTACCTTTGGGTTTCGTTTTACATCCCTCTGAGTTTTCTTAGTGAGTGACCACATTCAGAAGTCAGATGCACATCCTAATTCTGTAACAGGTAAAAGGCGGGTGCACAAAAGATTAGCATGTAGTAACTCAGTAAAATTAAAAAGGGACAAGAAACCTGTAAGCTGGTTAGTTTTAGGGCAATAGAGAATATGGAAATAAATAATTAGCTCCACTAATTATTAGCTTTGCCCTCTCTTCTCCCTGGAAAGAGTTGATGAAACCATAAATAACAATGAAACAAACGAAGGTAATCCTTACCTATGTACAAATACATAGTTCAGTCTATAAGCGTATAAGCAAAATATTACCTATTCATCAGGGAACAGAGCATTGAAATACATAAAAAATGGCATTAAAAAGGAGAGCTAATTAGGAAGTTGGAAGGAGTTTAACCCATCTCTGTAAGGCGGTATTTCACATTGGTGCAAGCAGCTGTTCTTTGCTGCAGATTGTGGGATAATGTTTTGGGGGATGTTAGAGATGAAATTGGCATTATCGCAATATTTATTTTAGAACTAGCTGTACCCGGCCATGTGTTGCTGTGGCTCAGTCTGGTTAAATGGAAAAGAAAGAAAAGAGTTTTTACCTGTCACAGGTGTGACATCTATATAATAGTAGGTATATAGAAACACGTGCGTATTCGAATGCAACGTTGTGTCAAAATTTCAAAGCAATTGGGGAAGAACTTTCGGAGATTTAAGATTTTGAACAAACGACCATTTACATTTTTATTTATATATAAGATGTGTTTCCAATGTTCCATAGTAAATAACATCAAGGGCTGCCCATAGGTTTTGTCTTATTTTATTTATTTTTTGAAGGGCTGCAAATGGACACCACAGTTGTTGATGTGTATTTTTGTTGTATGGCCCTCGGCATATTTCGTTCCCTTCAGATTTGTAGGGAGAGCAGGCCTGGTCCCCTTGAACGCCGCCGCCGTCCCCGGGCTCTGGATAACAACGGTCACTGCTCCGAGGCAGAAGGTTGGATCCAGAGGGCACTGGTGCTCTGGAAAAGAGAGAGAGAAAAAGTGCTGGGGATTGTGACACTTCCCTTTAGCCTCCGTGCCTGAGAAAGGCACTTTCCACAATTTTGATTTGTCATTTTAGCCAGGACAGGATTTATTCTAGAAACACCTTTTAGTTCTTTTCTTCAGGTCTGAGCTGACTTGGAAATAACTCCCTTTTGAAAAGGTTTGACTTCCTCTCTCCTCCTCAGGGATTTTTCCTCCCACGCGTAGATTAGGTAACCCTCGGTTCGCAGTAACACTCTCTTTTCTTTGCTGCACAACCTCCCACATCTTCAGAGAATCTAGGGCTGGGCTTGGACAGGGAGAAATGCACAAGTTTTGTGCATCTATTCTCAAAGCCCCAGGCTCAATGTTTTTTTTTATTTCTGGGGAAGACCTACCTGAACTGCAGATATCGGGAAACCGCTAGATGGCAGCAGAGAGAGAGATGGGAAATTAGCATCTGGCTGCCATCCTCTGCTGCTCTGGATTATGGCAGCCCTAATTTGATAACCTTGATTGTGTTGCTGCTTGTAAGTAATTTACTTTTGTTTTCCTTTTTGGGGGGGGATTTGTTATGTGACCGTAAGTGGGAAAACAAGTTCTAGATTCCAACTACATTTCATTCCTCCTCCAACTTTCCAGGGTCCAAGCTAATTATTATTGCATTTTGAGAGGAGTCCCTATGCAGAGTGTCCTGTGGCAATTATTGGCTGGGCATTGGCGTGTGCTTCCATGTGGAGAATCAGTCCCGCAACAATCCCATACGCGAGGCCACAGCTCAGGAGCAACGGAGGACTCCTGCCATTGAAGCCTTGAATGGGAGTTGAGAGGAAGTGAAGAAATTGGGAGCAACAGCTTGTGTTCCCTACGGGAAAAGGGGTGACAAAGCAGAGTGAGAACCATTCTTTTCCCAGACAAGATCTACGCAGCTGTGGCTGTGGGTGGATGCAACAACTGTAGGTGTCTCCTGCAAAAGTCAGCAATGCATGTGCCGTGACCCCACCCCAATATGCAATCCCCGTGCAAAAGCCCACCAGTGCAACCTGCATAAAACTGTGTGCACTATTGGATTTGGGGCAAATCGTTAAATGTTGCTTCCAGCCCCAGAACTGTGAAATCCTATGATATCTATTAGCATTTACTAATGTACTTATACTGAGGCAGAGAGCACAATCCGAGGGAAAACATTTTAGTGTCACCTACATCTTTTCCCCTTCCCTTTTTTTTCATTTGTTTCAAAAATTTTGTGGATGCTAAGAAACTAATTTATTTTATTTTTTTTAAAAAAAAAATCTATGCAAACTGCTGAATAAAAATAGTTTTCCTTTCTTCACTCTCTCTCTCCTCCTGGGCACCATAGCTTCCATGTACAAGCCTATTAAAACCCGTAAAAGGCTTTTTATTCCTGAGAACCGACATGGAATCTCGACTAGAGGCTTTTGGTCTCCTTTTTGCATCTGTGGTGAGCTTCCTCTCTCATAGGGCTACAGAAGCTGTTGGGACACCGGTGCACACTGTTGGCAGACAACTTTCTTCTGCTCTGGAAAATTTGGATGATAATCCGTGTGTAACTAAGGGCCAGTTTCAGGGTTTCCTGAGCAGAGCAGGAGCTGAGGGATGCCTGCCCCAAGGAGCCCATAGCCCATTGGCCTCTGCCAGGCTGGTCCCTTGCTCTGGCTCCAAGCATGGCACTTCCAGTCCACGTCTCTTCCCCGCAGCTCTTCTGCTGTGGCGCATGGAACTTCCATCCGTTGCTGCTGCTGCTGCTGTTGCTGCTAGAAGCTGCCCTGCCTTTGTCCAGATCCTTTCTTAATGCCACCCGGCTAGTGGCGGTGACCAAACCTTCTGCCAGTCAGTACCCTTTGCTAATTATGCATTGCATGGATGGATTAGCAAGGTTGTTCTCTCTTGGCTATCTGTGGAGTTGTATAAGCCTCTGTCATGTCTCCTCTTTGAGTTTCTTTCTCTTTTTTTTAAAAAAAACAACCCCTTAATTTCCCGAGTTGACTCTTGTGAACATACTTCTTGCATTTAGATTCTGGGTTGGTTTCTGGTGTCTGTTTCTTCTCCGCTGTCCTCAGCACCTGCCTCGTCCAAGGAAGCCTAAC